GCCTCCATCCTAATGGGCTATTGTGTCCTGTTATCTCTCCGTAAGAGGCCACAGGACAGGGCTCCCTGGCCTCCCTCTCCAACCCTGTAGTTGTAGGTTTCCTATCCTTGCGGCTCTTCAGTGGAGGCACAAACGTCACAGGCTTCCTTTCCCAGCAGTCCAGGTGGCGCGTGCGCTCCGTGGTTGCTCTCTCCCTCTTGTCCTGTTATCTTCAGGGCAGCCTTCCACCCTTCGGTTCCTCCCCTATGTGAAAACTAAGTCCACAGAAGCAGGTGTGTGCACATGGACGTGTCACACGAGTAAGGGGCCTGCACCTCTCAGTGCCATCAGGTTAGCACCTAGGCAAGGGGGACACCAGGTCTCATTTCAATTTGAGGCCTGGGGAGACCTGGGAGACCACAAAGTGCAGAGATGGCTTCTTCCAGTGCCTAACATTCCTCATGGATGCGGAAGGCAGGCAGAGCGCAAGAGTCAATTCTCTTTATCGTCATCATACTGGTACCGGTGTGAGAAACAGATCCCTCCTCACCGAAGATGGATTTGAGAGTTTGAGGGGCCAGGGCTCCTTGATCCAGAGGTCTAGGCAGTTCTTGGCCATTCTCCCAAATGTCTACTGACCCGTGTCATTGAAAATCGAGGTACACACCTACTATGGCTACAATGGCCAGTTGGTTACTGAGGTCATTAGGAAGTTGAGAGTAGTTACCAGCTGCAGCTCCAGGAGCCAGAGACAGCTCTCCCTTGCCCAACCTGACCTCTGCTCTCTCCATGAGGACTTTATTTGGCTTGGAGGAAGGAAATCAGGAAGCAGGGTCCCTAGGATTAACATCACGCTACAGTCACACACCACATTGTGATCCGGCTGTCCCTGTTATTGTCCCAGTTGCTTGAAGTCTTGGGGGAGGCTCTTTAGACAAGGAAGGCTCAAACTGAATGACGACCAGTGAGGGGAGCTGGATGCCCTGCCCTTCATCCTAACAGCCTATTGTGATCTCTCCATAAGACGCCCTTGGATCAGGGCAGCCCTTAGCCCCCTTCTCCACCCCAGGCTTCTAATAGGAGAGCAGCTGCATGACAGGCAGTCAGAACACAGGCAGAGAGCCATGGGCTGTGCACAGTGCTGCCATGCCATCATGGTCTCTGTACCCGGACCAGGGCAGTTACAAGTTGAGGCCTGACATTTTCAGTGGAGTCATGGCCAAGGCAGTGACTAAGCTACAGAGGCCATGATGCCAGGAATCCATCATAAGTTGGGGGGGTGGCTCTGCTTTTATGTTGGGCCCAGGTCCACTGCTCAAGTGCACCCAATTTCTGTGATTCTAGAATCTAATGATACAACCAAGAACCTGGCAGCAGCAGCATCCTCTATTCCTCTGAGATGGAAATATATCTCGGCAACTGGCATATGACAAGAAAGATGCACTTATTAATAACTAGGAAGGGTTCAAGAAAGTCCCTTGGGGTGTTTTATTCTCCAGGTCAAGCATGGCTCCACCCCAGAGTCCATGGAAGGAGTCGATTCAAGGACCGGGCAGATCTGTCCTGTGGACTACACTTGTTCAGGGGTTACTTGACTTGTCCGCTGAAGTGCTTTTCCTGTCCTACAGCCATGTACTGGTCTCTGTCCTCACACAGGTGCCCAGGGCTGGGGTGGGGTAGGTGTCCTGGGATCAGGACAGGGAGCATTCACTCTCACCTGCACAGTCCTGTCCTGATTGGGAAGGCCAGGGGACTCGTAACTAGCGAAAATAGTCACTTTAGATGAAGTTACAGAATTTCAAAATCCCACAGTTTATTTTCTCATTGCACAGAAACACTGACTTTGGGGTGTGCTTTTAAGATAAATCAATCTGCCTCTCTCTCTAAAGTAGCCCTGCACCTGTGGATGAGCACCAGAGTTTGCTGTGCATAGTTGGGAGACAAAGCTGTTCTGAGGGCTCAGATCGGTAGAGACGCTCATCTTGGAATTTGGCAGGAGGCATCCCCACGCCTGCTCGTCGTTCCGTAATTCTAACTGACATGTTGGAATAAGGACTCAGACCTAGACATTCCTGGCACAGCCCCTGTCTCATGATGGTGTCCATCTCAGTCCCTATGGCTCAGGAAGGAAGACAGTGCACTCCCCTTTCAGGGAGTAAAGCTTTAAAAACAGTGGTAGACAAGAGACTCAGAAAGCCCCCGATGGCCTGGTCTGGGCACGCCTCTCAGGCTGCAGGTGCTTTTCTCATCTGTACCTGATGACTGTCCCAGAGACACCATGGGGACCGGTGCAGGATTTCCAATGGCATGTTCACGGTCTGAAAACGGTGCCTTACATTCAAGTGGAACTTTTCCTGTTAGACACACCCCAAATGGAGATGGGGGGCGGGGAAGCTGCCCTTCCAGGGCCACCACAGACCATGCACCAAAGACATCAGTCCCCAGAATCCAAAGGTCCTAGACACTCGTCCTAAGTTCCTGCTGCCCGACCACTGTCACAGTTTACTTTGAGAGTAAGGAAGAAGGATGGCACAGGCTGGGTGCCAACCAGTTGAGCTTATCCTGCAGAAAGCTAGTGGCCAACGGGTGTCCCTCCTGCCACATAAGGAGCGGAACACCGTGGACACTTTGATTCCCAGCACCCTGAAACTCACAGGAGCCTGCACAAGGGCGGTTCTGTGATTCTATGTATCTATGGATGAAAATGAATCTCACAGGTACGGTTGAGAAGGATTTATTCCTAACAGCACATTTTATGACCTTAAGAACCTGTGCCCATGGTGGTCACTGATCTGTGAAGTGCAAACGTACATGAAGCCCACTTAATAACACAGGAAGACTTGGGGAGGGGAGGCTTGTAACTTCACAGCCAGTATCTAAAGAGCAAAGCACAGCACCGTAGAGCCAGGCTAACTGAGAGTCTCCCATGTGCCCGGGAGGGGCTCCAGGACTCTAATGCTTTGATCAGAGAACATGGGTGCTATGAATACAGCCACTTGTCAGCATCAGCATGCCCAGAAACATATCCCAGAGCAACAGACGGCACAGAGCACGGAGGGAGAGCACCAGACAGAACACGGGACACAGGAGCTGGGGTTCTCCATCTGTGTGTTTATTTATTAAAAAAAAACCAAACCAAACCAAACAAAACACATGTTGATAGCCAGCCAGGCACCAGGCAATGAATAATGCTGGGGATTCAACCCTAAGGTGGCCAAGGTCTCTCTGAAGGAGCTCACAGTCTAGTGGTGTGGAAACATGGTCACTCCCTGGCTCCAAGCTGGTGGTGGGCAGCCATCTTGGGGTTGGAGGCAAGAGCCAGGGCAGCAGGATGAAAAGGTTGAAGAGAAGCCAGGACCATATGGCTGAACCCAGAGGGGCTGAGGAAGACCTGCACCACACAGGAGCTGATGGGCAGCAGGGAGGGTCCAGCCAAGAGGCTATGTGAACTGTGGGAGGCAGACTTGTGCGGAGTAAACAATGGCGTGCCTGGATGCTGCATCGATGTGGGGCGGCAGCGTGGGAGGCAGGGGCGAGCTCCGCCACCGGGCGCTGGGACCTCACTGCACACTGCACACAGACCCCTCTGACACAGTGCTTCTTACTAACACCATGCAAAACCCCAACAAGGACTCAAACACGTCACCAAACAAGGGGAAATTAATCTTCATCATGTTCCTACATCGTTCTAGAAAATGCTGACTGTTTTTTCTTTGTAAGGCTTAGACCTTTGTAAATTTTGGATCAAACGTGCTTGAAGTATAGTCAGACCTCAATCAGTGCGCTTTACAAAAAGAAAGACCCAGTATTTGCTTTTGTAAGAAAGATTACACATTATTTCATGACAGAGACTTGTGGGATAAACTCCAGAGCGGTGGCAGGATGGGGCGTGGCCAGCTGTGCAGGGGCTTACCCAGGGCCCTCTCACCACTGCTAACACTGATGCCCTTGTATGAGAACAAGTTATTGTTATAGTTTTTGAAGGGCATCCCTGGGGTTTGCCTGATAAAAACAGCTGATGTCAGCATTTTAATACCAATTTTTCTTATAGTCTAAGCTATTCCAAACGCCTGTACACTTAAAAAAAAAAAAAGAAAGAAACCTTTAAAAAAATCTTGCTTTTACTAAGATAGCAAGATAGCAATATGGCTGCTTTCATGGGCAGCCTTTACTATAAACTGCCCCTCTTAAATGATAGGAGTATCTTGAGTTTTAGGGGGGAAAGCAACAATATAAAAAGGTTGTTGACATAGCTGAGCTTACTCACAATACAATAGAACTCAGGATAACAACCCACTCTGTCCTCTGCACACATATCCTGCCCCAGGAAAATGGCCACACCACACAGGAAACCCTGGATGCTTGGGACACACCTTTCTACAAGCTTAGGGAGGTTTTTTTTTTTTTTTTGTAAAACAAAACATAAAACAACAAAATATAGTATTTTCTTAAACAAAACACCCTAGAAAGTTGAAAAGGTGAACGTATCACTTCTGAATGAAAAGAAGTCATTCCCCAAATGAGTAAAGTCAAGCAGAAGACCTCCTGCCTGAAAGTGTAACATCACCAGGAGGGAGTGGGGACACGCTACATGCTGTGTAGAACCATCGCCATGAGGACAAAATCATACATGTGACTGTGGTAAGCTTATTTTTTAAGCTACCTACAAAATTTTGCCCTAACAAATACTTTTTCTAGCCCATAGACTCGCAGATGGTTAGATATATACCCAGACCTCATCAGCTCCTGAGCACGGCAAGGCTGCTTGGCCGCTGCGTATTTGCGAAAAGGCTAGCAAGTGATTACCCCAGCATGCACCAGTCACAGGAAAACACGCCCCGGCTTCGCTTTTCTTTGAGTGGGTGGGCGACTTGGTCTTGTGAACAGGCTATCACGTGGTGTGAACGAGCAACACAGCCACAATGGTTTTTAGGACAACATCCTCTCAGAGCCTCTGTGGCTTTAGTAAAAGCCTCCTCGCCGCTCACTTTCAGAGCTTAGGGTTAGAAAGACAGCGTTACCATTGGCTGGAAGGTACGTGAAGTGCTGGTACTGGCTTCTCTTCCGCTTCCCATTGCAGACGTAGAAGCTGACTTGGACAGGGCTGGTTATTCTCTGGTTGCGGAATGGTGGTATCTCCACCACCAGGGAATTCTGGTGGGAAAACAGCAAAGAGAAGGCAGTCAGGACCCCCACAGACCAGGAATGCTTGTACTGAGGCATTGGCATCAACTCAGAGCGGTCCAGAGGGCCTCGGCTGGTGGCTTTTGAGTGCGACCTGTTCATATTTGATCACGAATCGGTCGTAGTGTGCACTCTCAGGGAAGAGGGACCCTGAATTCCCACATGACTAGAGGCTGGAAGACCTTTATACTGGAACTGAGACCAAGAAGAGCGAGCCTGTGAGCATCTCTCAGAGAGTGGAGTCACCCCACTGCTACCGGGACAGCAGATTCCAAGAACTACCCCTGCCCCAACATCCAAGGCCCAGTGACCTTTAGACAAAAAGAACTGCTCTCTGCCTACTCATGAGGCACTTCTTGGAGGCATGAGAGGAGCTATTCCTTGTGGACATTGTCTAGTGAGGCGTTTAACAATTGTCACGATGTCCGCCAGAGTCCCCAATTTCCTCCAATGAAGACATAGCAGCTCTCAGCCCAGGGCAGTGGAACAATTGAGAACACAGGGAAGATACAACTGGACAGCTTGTGGTGGCTGGAGCTTTCTTTCCTGATTTTAAACAGAAATATACGAGTATTTCCCATGCTCTTTCAAGGGCAAACAGAAATGCAAGCCACGGGTACTTAGAACTGAGTGGATACACTCAAATGAAGACTGAGCTGACGAGCCCCGGGGATGCCTGGCCCTAGGTGAACCCAGAGCGTGACGCAGCCACCCTAAGGAGATTCAGTGCTTCAGAGCGCTATACTAGATTTCTGCTGGGGATTTCAAACCCATCCAGTTTCTTCATTTTGTTTCTTTCGTGTGATTTTAGTTTAACAGGCCAGGAAAAAAATATCAGAAAAATCCATGGTATCATTCTTTTGTTAAAAGTCATTAGCCATAGCTTGTTATAATGGTAGCTAATCGATTGCAGCAACTTTATTGAGTTGTGTTAATAACAAAGCCTCAGTACTAGAAACAGAAATTGGAAGAACTGCAGACCCAGCCTCTTTGATTACAGAGGGAGCCTGGCGCTGAGAGCTCTTAGACACAAGCACCAGGGCAGGACTGGCTATGGCGCCCTCTGGGCTCTGTCCCCTGGGTCCATCCATCCAGCCCCAGGGCATACTAACTCTGGCAACCCATGGCAGCTGTTACACTACCTTCACCTCATTGGAAGAAACTAGGGTGGGGGAGGGGTAAGTAAAAGGTGAACGAGGGAGCCTGCACTGTGCTCACCCATGGCTACGTGGCCACCTTTGTAGGAGGCTGCCCCAAACTGTGGCAGCTCAGGTCTGGGCCGTGTCCAGCTTTTGGTGGTCTCGCTGTGAAACTTGGGTTCAGTTAGGTGAAGGGGACAGAGACTGTCTCTGGATGGCGTTTAGGAATTGCTACACTGAAGGAAGCTTTAGGTACAGCTGTAACTCAGTGGTGGCAGCCGCGCCGGGCGTTGGTGGCGCACGCCTTTAATCCCAGCACTCGGGAGGCAGAGGCAGGCGGATCTCTGTGAGTTCGAGGCCAGGCTAGACCGACAGCCTCCAAAACAGAGAAACCCTGTCTCGTAAAAAACCAAAAAAAAAAAAAAAAAAAAAAAACCAGTGGTGGCAGCCGCTACCAAGTCTGGAAAAGAAATGGCTCTTCAGAAGGAAGCAAGGAAAAGATGTTGATGCTCAGGCTGGAAGGGATACAGAAAGGCCCAGCGGGGCAGGCTGTCCCTGGCACATCAATGAGGTGCACTTTAACCCTATACACAGAGCCCTTCCACAGCAACTCTGCCCTGAAACACACGGAAGGAGGCTGGAAGAAGTGTGGCCTGCACTCGAATGACGGGAGCATGTCAACGTCGTCAGGGGCGACATGGGCTGCAGCTAGCTCGGGCTTTAGGAAAACCCGCTGTCCTAAGTTCACATCCTTAGCTGGATGCAATCTATAACCACACACACAGCAGAAGCCCATCTTTAAAATATCTGCAAATGCAACATGAGAGCAGCGCACATATGTTTCTGCGTGTGCCTCTATGTGGTGTGTGTGAGGATGCCTGTGTGAGGGTATGGGGGGGTCACTATCTTCAATATTTCCTTAAGGGCTTCTTGGGTGAAGTCAAGAAACAAGACTGAGGCGGAGAAAGGCCTCTTCCGGAGGCACCGAGGATGGAGGCTCCATGTTTCACCTTCATGAACAAGTATCACCTGGGCCAGAGAGCTTTTCCACCTGACAAACACTTTGAACGGTCTCTTGGGAGTGGATCAGTGCCTAGAAGAGGAGATGCAGTAGCAGAGCAAAGATGCGTCATTCTGACGGAGTCACCTAGAGGACAGGGAGGCAGTCTGTGCCTGCTACAAGGGAAGCAAACAGCCGGGTGACTGCCATGCTAGTGGGAGCCATGACTGCCTGTCTACTCTGTGAGTCCTCCCACTTACCAGCATGTCCTATCTGTGTGATTCTTGCTGCCCCTTGTCCCCGGGTAGCCCGAGAGAAAAAGCCCTTTACTCACAGCTTCCCAGGGTTTCGAACTCATTCAAACCCTATTTCTACACGCTCAGAACATACCACATGCTCCCTTTGTCCTGTGTTCACAAGAACGCTGCCCAGACTATTGGAAAGCAGTCAGTGGAGTGAGCTACAGAGTTTGGGAGGATTTTGGATGCCTTCAAAATACCTACTCTCTGGCTATAGTATGTGACATTCTGAGACGGCACAGAACACACAGGACTCACTGACGGCTGCCCGGCTTGTCTGAACTGATAATTGCCATAAGCATTCACGGCCTAATGTCCAATTAAAGAGAGCTGGGGTTGGGACTATATCTCTGTGGTAGAGCATTTGCCCAGCATGTAGGGCTCTTAGTTCAACCTCCAGCACTGCAAAGCCAAGCAAACGAGAGACGACACTGTGAGAATGGAGAGGGCAGACAGGAGTCAGCAAACAAGACTTGACTGCACTTTGTCTCCAGGGCCCGTTTCAGGTGAAGAGACCAATGGCTGGAAGAAAGAGACCACGCCAGCAGTCGGAAACATTCTGCAGCAGCAAAAGTTATTTCAGACAAAACTAGCCAATCATAAACAGCAATGGCCCGGTGTGACGGTGAGGAGGGAACACCAGCAGGTGCCGTGTCTCCGGGCAGGTGAGAGAAGACTAATTATGTCGCCCACAGGTCATGCCACACTTTCGCCGTGGCTCATCAGCAAATCCAACCAGCAGATCTAAGCCGTCCGGTTAGGTCTACCCTTTCATCCACGTCAAGTGCAAAACAAGAGTGCTAGATAGCTGAGGCATTCTCTGGAGAGGGTGGTGGCAAGTCGCACAGGCAGGGTGGCATGTCCAGGCAGGTGCTGGGTTTCCATGAATGAGGTGCAGAACACCAAGATCTCCCAGGGGTAAAGCATTAGCAAGAGGAGCTAGAACCTGGTACCTCTAAAAGGCAAAGCACACACAACACATAGAGGTCTCAAGCTCTGTCCAGCCTCTGTCCTCATGGTCACTGTTTCTGTCCCAACTCTATCCTAATAGCATTTGTTTGGGCAAGGGATCTGGGGCTGTTTTCTCACCACCTCTATTTTTCAACATTTCTTGTTTTTTTAACAAACCGGAGCCCCAGACTGGCCTCCAGTCTCTACTTCAGGGTGCTAGGTACTTACTGGCTTGCACAGGTCTCGGTCAGTTTTTGCTTCCATCTCCCAGACATGATGGCCATCTAGAACAAAGGGCAGGAAGAAATCTGTCACTTTGTGTGGGGATAGTCTGTCTTCACACCTTCCAGGAGACCCAGAAACTGAAGGCCAGGGAGGGGAGAGTGGGAAGGAGTGGTGATGTCAGTGAATGACCCTGTCAGTGAATGACACTGCCTAGTTGCTCAGGGTGTGGGTCAGGGCAGTGCTCTAGGTCCCCTAGATATTTGACTCTTTCAGTGGCAAGAGTCCTGGTCCTGTGAACTTAGTAAAGCCCAAAACTATGCCCAGTGTGCCTTCTGAGAAGGAAGGATCCGCACAGTCAAAGAGTATTTCTAACAGTCCACCCTTGTGCTCATGTTTACATACATCTTATTGGCCCCGACACACATCAAGAAAGGGTTCCTACACCTCAGCGTCTTCCGAGAGAGAGAGAGGCAGAGACAGGAGACCTCCAAACCCAGCAAGACATGGCACGTGCAGAGCACAGCTTGGCTCTGCCACTTAGTACCATGCCCTACCAGCTTCCATGTGTTTTGGGAGAACTCAGAGCATTGCTGTAGCCTCTGCTCGGAGGAAATGCTAAGGAGATAAGAAAAGTCTTTCTTTGGTCATTTTGTGCCACATCAGGACCTAAAAATGCAAAACACGTGGTATTTTTAACCTTAGCCCAGTGGCCGTTTGCATGTTAAAAAAAAAATATTAAAAGGCTCCCATAGGCACAGTGAAAGAACGTATTGTTCTCGGCTGGCGATGAGGTGTGGACCTGGTGCTTAGAGGAAGGGTGTCTGCCACTCACAGGCTCTGAGTCCCCAGTCCTGCCCACAGGCCCATGACCTGGGGACAGCTGGGTGGCTACCGAGCTGACGGATATCCATCCCAGCTTTTATCTTCTCCAAAATGAAGTCAGTTCCTGAGATGAACCGTTTTAGGCACACACTTAGTTTTTGCTCACACTCCATTTGTCTGTCACTAACCCTACATTACTGATAAATCAGACACCAGCTCCTTCCCTCAGTGCCGGACAGAGGTGGGTGGAGGGTGGAGACACAGGGTGGAAACGTGAGTCATCGTGAGGCTCCGAGAGCCACCCAGCCTCACCAGGCCACATCGGCTGGCTTCCAAGATGCCCCAGGCCCTGAACAAGTCACCCATCAGACGAGCCCAGGAAGGGATCATAACTGGATTCCCTAGCCAGACCCCTCGGGGAAAACAACAGGACACTAAAAATATACCTAGCCATCCCTTGAGTCTTGGAAAGTCACGAGCCGTGAATCCCCCCTGGCCATGGCAGCTCAGAGACTTCAGCTGAGAAGTGCTGTCAACCCCAGCCACATAAGTCAAATGTCACCATGAGAGTCAAAGAGGAAAGTACCCACATGCAGCTCTCTAACCATTCTCTGGCGGTGTGGCCCAGCTGTGTGTACGCTTGTGCAGGTCAGGCTCGCCCTTCACAAGGGAGAGTCAGCATACTTGTGCTCCCTTTAACACAGCTTCTGTGTTTAAGGTAGTCTCCCAGGGCAAGGCTACTCTCTGGCCCTTAGACACACTGCAGTGCAGTGCCTCTGCCTGAGCATAGGCACACCAAATGTCGTGTGGCCCACACCAGCCTGAAAGCTCCTGCCCAGACTCAGAACCATGTGGAGAAGGTGCAACCTTCCTGTCCATGTAGGAGTGACAGCAGTTAAGCCTGGAGAGGGAAACTCCATCTCCTTTAAGAGTTTACACGGTAGCCCTGCCACCTCTGAGGATAGAGGGAAGCTCAAACCAGCTCAAATTCCTGATGGGGTCATCTCCTAAGTTCAAATCATGTCACAAAAAAATTAATGAAACATAGGCATACAGGTGGCTTGGGCACCCAGGACCTGGGCACACAGAAGAAGAAAGGTTGCCTGTGAAGGAGACTCAGAGTGGCTGAGAAGGGTCCATTGTGGGTCAATGACAAGACAGCCAGCTCCCATCCTGCCCCAGGCCTACACCAGAAGACAAGATAGAGCTCCATCCTGTCTTCTCCATCGCACCAAGTCAGATCACACATCAGATTCGGTTTCCCACCGAAAGACGGTTCCTTGCAGCCACCAGGATGTATGTGCTACTGTCAATCATCTTCTCCAAGGCCGGGCTGTTCAAAACACCAGTCCCTCCTGGAGCTCAGTCTTCCACTGCAGCTATCACACAGTGAGGAAACTGAGTGGCAGTTCTTCCTCTTCTGACATAGTTGACTGGACTTTCGAATGCACACATGGCAGGCTGCTTCTAGCAGGAGACCAGAGGCCCAGTGATGTAGAGACGTCCCTTATACTCCCGAGGAAATCATCAGAGGGCCTCTAACTGTGGGGGCTGCCCTAGACCATCAGATGAGCCCATGGCATCCTCAACTAAGAGTCCATGCTCAGAGGCAAGTTGACACAGCGCCTCTACCAGGCAGGGAGCCAGCCAGTCATCCTAAAAGGACCTTTGTGTCCCGTCTTATCAGGAGCTCCCTGGGCTCTCAATAGGAAACTGTGCTCCAATTCAGAAGTAAAAATATTCCAAATCATTAGGGAATTCCCTGCAGTGTGAGTCATCGGAAAGGCTTCCCCACCACACCCACCCAAGGTTTCCACAGAGCCGGCCTGCAGGTCTGAAGTGGCTCCACTGGCTGCAGGACGCTGCTGTCACCACAGGCCCACAGGCCAGTCACACGCCAGGGTAGGAGCTGAGCCACTGTTTCCAGCTGAAGTTTACTCTGGAGTGGAGGAGCTTCCTGAGATATGTTTTTCGCCTCCTCCTTGGAGGGAGGGGGCAGGAGGCTTCATCCTTCTGGCTCTGCATCTGCATCCCACCAGCCTCGAGGGAGGGGTAGGTCCAAATTCCCTAGCATCGTGAAGCACTAGGATGCGTGCATTATAAGGCTGGGTGAACACAGCAAAGCTTGTGCAGAGGCGGACTGCAGAGAGGCTCTGAGCATAGACATCCTGGCATACACGCAGGTTCTCTAACCTTCCATGGATCATGCGAGCTGGTGGGCACAGACTTGCAGCCCCTGGCTCCCCAGAGACCCGTGTTTCCCAGGTTAGGAGGGCATCTTTTCACTCTTCAGCAGAACCCCGAGGCAGAACAAGACTGGCCAGCATTTTGGGAAAGAGCCTGGTGACACTGATTATCTGAGGACAGCACCACCCAGGTATGTTCCAGGAGGAAGGCACAGGCACTCACAGAACCTTGTTTATGAACGTTCACAGCAACTCCATTCATGATGACCACAGACAGTGGAACAACTCATGACTATCTACTGGGCAACCTACCTATGTGGCCTGGCCCATCGGGGCACTGCTCAGTCATAGACTGAACAGAGCCCTGGAATCTACTTCCAGGGTGGTAAAAATGTCGTTCGGTGAAAGAAACTAGCCAGCAAAGCACACACACTGTCTGACTACACTGACAAAAAGCATCCCGGAGGCAAATCTACAAGGTGTGTGGAGAGGATGGCTGGTGTTTGGGTGGAGAGGGGAAGAGCTGGAGGCTCTTCTGACTCTTCACAGCTAACATAGAGCACTCAAAGCTTGGTGTGACTCAGCAACCAGGGAGGAGGGGATCTGGTAGCAATGGCACCATGTGGAAATCTGTGTGGAAAAAGATCCATGGTTAGGCAGGATGCCAGAGGGCTGAGGGCCAGGCTTGCCCTTCACAAGGGGTTGCTTGGCTAAGTAGCACTCCGGTAGCTTGTACGGTGACCCCCCCCCCAGTTCACGCACACACACACACACACACACACACACACACACACACACACACCATCCTTCTCATTAGACTCCACCCAGAGAAGCCCAGCATCTCCCACTTGGCCACTCCAATGAATATTTCCAGTACTAGAACCTCAGAGACACACCCAGCCACATCTGTGCCAATGCTCACGGAAAAGGAGCATTCTTTTGTGGAGATGAAAGTATCCCAGGGAACAGTGCAGATATCCACAAAGCCATGGGAACTGTACCCTGTGAGACATCTGCATGTGTGTAGGCAGAGAGGTGCAACCCACTGGGATTGTGGGTACAACTGTCAAATGTGATCCTTCAACACTCAAGGGAGAAGAGGAACTGGATTGCCAAGGACCCTGTTCATTTGTAGGGATCCTGTGTGGCTTCCATCTTGAGATGGTGGATTCACACTGCCCATGAAGCCCACCAGTAATGCCCAGCTTGTCAGCATCAGGAGCTAAGGCAGACCTAGACCTCTCCTACCATGGAGGCCTCTGAGAAGACCTCTTCTACCACAGAGGCCTCTTTCTGAATGCCCAGAGTGGGTCTATCATTGCCTTTCCAAATTCATTTCCTCCTAAGTCTCTTAGAAATGCTGTCTGTGTGAGGATTATAGGTCTAGCTTCCTTCCCTCACTGGGTCAGTGATTTCTGGAACGATATAGATCTGGGCATGTCTGCAAGGCAAAGCTTCAAGAGTATTCTCTCCCCAAATCCTGCTGAGTGACCACGCACAGTAGCCACATGGAACCTTGCCTGACCAGGTCAGCACAGTGGTATTTTTATGCCCATGATGAAAACTAGCACATGTGCACAGGGCTGATGACGTACAGAGCCTGGGAGCAGACACTGTCCTCTGGTCTGGCCGCCCCAGCACCATAGCCAGGGAACTGGAAATCGGAAAGCATTTTCCTACAGCTGGTCATGGCTTCAGGGTATGTGTAACTCCTACAGCCAACCCCGAGATACCCTGTGAGTAAAAAAGCCCATGGCAGCTGCATCTGAGGGACTTTCAGAAGTTTTTGAGGAAGCAGATGAGCAGAGACCTCTGTGGCCACATGGCCTGAGGTGCAGAGTTTATGGATGACAGTAGGCTGACAGCCAGTAGGACCACTATAGGAACTTCACTTCCAACCCCAAGGCAGATGAGACATGGCTGTCTCAGTGTAACAGCCACTTGGTGGGAAGATGTCAGGGAATTTGAGGTGCCCCTGCCCAGCACTGCAAGCGGCAGGGACATTCCACAATAGGCCAATGGAGTAGTAGGTCACATCACATGTACACATACTAATATCACCACACCAACACATATGCACACACACACACAATTGATAGACACATACCTCATGACACATTGGCACACATACACATGAACCCACACTCAGTTATCAGAAACACTGTCATACATGTCATATACATACTGACACACAAAGCCCATGCAGGGACACTCTACACTCCCCCCATACTGCCTTGAAACCATAGATCTCCCTGGAGACTGCTTCCTAGTCATGGGACAGTGCACCCTGAAGCCTGTGGTCATGAGCAGGTTCATACTTTTAAAAAAAACAGAAATGAGCAAAGACTCAGCTGTATGTACTTGCCTGGAGACTGAGGGTTCCCCGCTATGTGCTCTGGCCAGGGGTAGGTGCTACCCATGCAGGGGTCCCTCGGAATTCATCACAATTAACAAGCAGACTAAAAGTCTATGGAGGGTCAGAGCACATGACACATGAAGAGGCCAAGCCTCCCCGGGTCCTGCTGCCTTCAGGAGGAAGAAGTTTCTCTTCCCTAGCTTAGCACCTTCTCCTCTGGCAAGCCCTGGGACCAGCTCTGTTCCCAGAGAGACACACCATCTTGCTATCTCTGCTCCATCTTCTTGGATCCCTTAGCTGGTGCTGATGGCACCTCCTCCACACATTCTCCTAGATCTGGGAGGATTCACACCTGCCCTTTTACCCTGAGACCTACTCCTATTGTTCACCTTCTCTCTGGCTGTCATCACAGCACATTCTCACAGGTGGCTGCCCTATTCTGCAAGGAAGTTGAACCGCCATCCAGGCACCCTCATTAGAGGGATGGAATGTGCCCACCAGCCGCTTCCTATGCCCAGTGAAAGGAACACGGAGGACAACTCTGCTTCTCTTCCCAAACACTGTCTTCAGTTTGCATGCTCCTCTGTCAGCCGGCCCATGCCCGCAGCCTTGCACCAAAACTTTCCCAAGGAACAGAGGAAGGGTCAAGCAGGGAAAGCAGATCTGTGGCAGGGTGAGGTATACATGGTGCAGGAGCTAGCAACTGGCTCTGCCACCCCTACCCAAGTCACTGCAGCAGAACAGCCCCCACTCCTGGCAGGGGAACTGCTCTGATGAATACACAGAACCTTTGAGTCACTGAACATTGTGACCTGGAGCACTGGATGGTGGCCCACAGAATAGCAGGGTACCTGTGACTCAGGCATCCTGCAACACACAGGGAAGAAACACTAGAATCCAAGCCTGGCTGTAGTCCTGACTGCCTGACTCAACAGCATCCACAACAGTCACAGTCACGGGGGTGGCTCCTTCCAGGGCGGCCAACCCCACCTGCCCAACACTCAGCTTCCACACAGCTCCTGCTCCTCCCATCCAACTCCTGCAAGGAGCGGTTTAAAAACAACTATAAGGTGGACCAGACATAATATCAGAAGACCAGAGTCCAGTTCTGCTATTAATTTGAACGGATCTTAGTGGTTTCTCAGAAAGAAACAACTAGAAAAGGCTTGTCTCTCCATACCTCACATGGTATGGTAGGTTAGCGATGGCATTTGCTTAGAAAACCAAATACAAATGAAGAGAATTATGCACATGTTGGTTTCCTGCCTTCAGAAAAATACCATTTGCATGTCCATACCTGAGTGGACATGCAAATAACCTAATTATAAAAAGTGAAACAACAAACATTGTCTAGACACAGAACTGCACTGTTGTCACATTTAAGTGCTGTATGTATTTGTGACATATACTCATTTATGGCATGCCTTATGTATGCTAGGCATCACCTACAACCAGTGAGAGTAGCTCAGGGACCCAGCATGCAACCCCATGGGCTTAGCTTGAAGGTAGGAATGAGATGGGGCTTCCGGCAGGGTGGAGCGGGGGCTTGTGGTCAGTGGAGGGCTGCTCACTTAGTAGGCAGGAAGCTGAATTTTGCCCCTGTACCTTATTGCTGTACCATGCCAGGCTCTGACCCCGCTGCCTGCTACTGGCCACTGCTGAGAACTGCCAAGTCTACAGCTGTGGCCAATTCTCCTGCGTGGAAGGCACCTCACTGGCCTCCCCATCCTGCAGAGCCATAAACAGGCAGGAAAGCTATCCAGACCCTGCCTTGTGACAAATCCTCAGGGGGCCGTGGCTCCCCTTGGTTTGAGCACGGAAATCTTACTGTGCAGAGTGCAAAGCCTTAAGTCCGAGCTTCTTGTTTGACAGGGAGGCATGCCTGAGGCTCTGAAGGTCAAGTAATTTCAGAATTAACCTCCCCGGATAAGGATGTGGGCACTGCTGATTCTCTTTATCATTGTACTTGGTTGGAGTTTCTTTATAATTTAAAACATATTTTCCAATTATATGCATGATTACAGAGGCCAGCCGAGTCAAATGTGAAAGCCTATGTTGATTGAAGTGCCTAAGTTGCCTGTGAATGGTACAAAATCAAGATTCCATTGTGGAGACTGTTGAATGCCCCAGTGTTTACCAGCGATTAGGGTAAGTGCCGGACTGACCACCTCCAAGAAAACTCCAGTTGGTAAGAAAGAAAAGGAGGAAAGCCTTTAGCACACCAGCCCCGAGTAGATACTGCCCTGGCTGCCCATGTGGGTGGGGCACGGCATCCCTGAGAAATGTCATCTGGAAGTCTCGGGTCCAAAATCCCAAACTCCATACAGTCTCTGTAGAGGAGGATGATTGAGGCTGAGGGCAGGTGCCCTTTCTGGGCCAGTGCACACCTGCCCACAGCCACCCAACAGGGTCACGCCCAGCTTGATCTTTGAACCAAGTATCAGTGGACTGGGGTCTTTCTCTTGTGCCCAGCAACATCTTTGGTTAGCACAGCTCTACCAAGCTGCTGCCTCCACCTGGAGCCAGAAAGGTCCCCACTGTCCCAGAAAGGATGGGCAACTGGGATCAGCGTCTAAATGAAGTGACCTGGGCTACACTCCTGGCCCCACGGGTTGCACAGACACAACGGCTCCAGATGAAAAGAAAATACACAGCTCACACAACTCCTTGGGTCACCATCCCTGCTGACAACCTCCCCTCCCCCACCACCCTCAACTTTGACTAGTAAGACATTTCCATTGTGGGCCATTGTGAGCACAAGGTTACAGCTGAGACAGTGGCAGTGCCTATCCTCTCAGGGAGACCTTTGTAGGGTATGGAGTCCATGGAGATGGAGACCACACTCACACATGGCTGTGGCACTGAGGGTCCCAACGAGAAAGAGAATACCAGCCTGGGCTGTGGTGTCCATGACACCAGGAAGGTCAGCATTCCAAGCTTATATCTACTATGGCACTACCTGGCACTTGTTTAGGGGACTGACTTCCCAGAGAAGCCAAGTGGCAGCCCCCTCAGACAGGGAATGGAAAGGGAAGGGAAAGGGCAGAGGGGGAAGCCAGGAGGAAGGACTGGCAGAGCACAAAGCAGGCAACCAGATGCCCTCGCAAGCAGCTTTCAAATGCCCAGCCTGCAGGCTTCCTAACAAGGGCAGTAGCTCTCAAAAGTCTGGGCCTGGAGGTGCCAAGGTGAACTTCACCTGGCTTTCAGCAACACAAAGACTCAAAGGGGATGAAATGACAGGCTGCACAGAGCCCCACGGGCTGGGGGCTCCCTCTGTCTGGTGATTGCCCAAGCTATGACTGTTAAAGAGAAGGGAGGAATATACTAATCCAGGCAAAGCTGGCCCCACCCCTTGGGGACCTGGCAGACCTCTGTGCATGGCAGGCAGCACCCTGGCCCTGTATGAAGGTGCCAAGGTCTCTTTAAGAGGCAAGCTCCTCCCACTTCTGCTCTCTGCCTTTTCTCTGAGGAGGCAGCTTTCTGTCTCTCTCTGTCTTTCTGTCCTTTTTTTCTTTCTCTCTCTCTCCTCTCTCCTCAGTCTCCTTCCCTTTACCTACTCCCTTCCCTTCCCCCAGTACACTTTCCACATAAGTTTTGTCTGCAGGTCTCTGTCTGACTCTCTCCCGCCGTTTGCCCCTCATCCGACAAAGGTCCCACTCTGGCTATATTCATAACAATGATCAAGCAGACAGGTCATGGGGGCGGAGGGTCCATATCTTGCCAACCAGAAGCCATTCCCACCAGCACCAAGAGCAGGAGCTCATCCGGCCATCCTGGAGAACATACCTGGGGCCTTCTCCACGAAAATGACCTTAGAGTCTTGCAGAAAGTTATGGCCAGACAGCACCATCTTCTTGCCGCCAACGACTGGGTAGCTGTCTGTGCTCTGCTTCTCCACAAGGGGCAGTTCCTGGGCTGACCGCTGGGCTGTATCGGAGGAGGTGAGACTTCAGTAAAGAGCCCTGTGCTGCCGTTTGACATAACTGTTCAGATTCCCTGGGGATTGACCCAGCCCCCAACTTTGTAGCGGGTCTCAAACCATGTTATTGGGAATGCCATAGGTGTGCTGCTCTAACAGGGTCAGGAGTGTGGCAAACCCATCAGAACGTAGTCCAGGGACAGAATGGAACACTGTCCTCAGAAGCTGCGAGCACAGGAACATTGACACCTAATGCTGGCCCCTGGGGTGGAAGGGCAGAGCTGGATAGGAAAGCTAGCATTAGACTGAGCCAGGGGCAGGGGCAGAGCGGAAAGGTAGCCGAGAGAGACCACATGGGTTATCAGCAACTTCATGAGGGCGGTAGACCCCAGGGAGACTGCAGAGGGGGTGAGACTCTCTACACCTCAGACTCCTTGGAGTCAGACAATCCAGAACACAGAAGAGTTCACCCCATAGGGAAGAGGATCCAGCTTTAGAAAGTCGGGTCTCCAGTGGCTTCAGAGACAAGGGGACAGAGGGCAGAGTCACATGGCTTCAGTGTGTGTGTGAGACTAAGGAAGACCGCACTTGCTCCAGGGGAGGCAGGGGTTAAGCTGGATACTCAGGAGGGCCTGCTCCACAGTCCAGGGGTCATTGACAGAGGAGTGTGTAGAACTAGGTTGGTCAGCATGGAACTAAAGACCCCATGGTGGGAGTCTCTTAGGAAACAAAGCCGGAAGAGCTGGGGAAGGGACACAATAGTCTGAAGGCACTGAGAATAAGCAGCCATGGCTGGCAAAGACTGTATGTGTGTCCTCACAGGTCCAGCTGTACCCACACGGATCCGGTTCTCAGGATGGGGAAGGGCTTCAGGATGCAGGGAAGTTGACAGGATGGGAACTGATTGGTTTCCAGTGACATGGCTTGCTAACAAGGGGCCGGCCAAGCAGACCACAGGAAGGTAATAGCCATAGCTGTTCCTTTCCAAGGCCAAGGAGACCTTAGCCACGTTCTGGTGGCCACCACACATATTGAAGGCAAAACACTTGGTACCACAAGGGAAGATAAATATTCATGTAGAGTGTGCAAAATTCAGGTTTGAGACACAAGTTATGGCCCACTGGCAGAACATTTGTTTACCATGCACGGGATTCTGAGTTCAATCCCTAGTATTGTGTGTATGTGTGAGCAAGTACACACACACACATACACACACACACACACACACGGACTGGGGAGAAGAACAGAACAGAGAATAGAAGAGAAGAAGAATAAGGAAGATGGAAGTAGCTAAGAGAAGAAGAAGAGGAAGCAGGTAGAAAAGAGAAGAGAAGCAGACACAGACGAGGAAGAGAAGGATGAAGAGGGATTGTTTTGGTTTGCCCAGCCTGGTGGTTGCAAAGCCAAACTTCCTCTTCTCAATTTCCCCCAAATAAAGAGGTAATAAACGTAGATAAGGTCAACACGACTCTGCTTCATGACAAACTTTGCTTTTGTTAATGTCTGTAGTTGCCAGGGGCAGGAACGCTGTGTACTTTGGCTTGGTACTAACCAGCACCCAGCTTCATGTGGGAATATGCACCCCAGCCAGACCCTCTTAGTGCGATGCAGAAGTCGGGTCTCCTGCAAGGGGTCCTATTTCCCGAGAAGCAGGCTGAAACAGACCTTTGATGGCATAGTTCAGTCCCCAAGCTACCACTTAACCGCACGTTCTATTTCTACTTACAGCACTCGATGGGGTTCGAGGCCACCTGGAGCGACAGCGTCCGGCCATTGGGCTGCGGGATGTGAACCCGGAAGACCAGTCGCACTCTGGTGTTCTTCCTCCCGATGTCTGTCTCCCCTTTCCTCAGCTCGATGTCCGAGTTTCTGAGCTTCAGGATCCCAGCACAGTCGATGCTGCCGGAAACAAAGACCATGACTTGGCTTTAGGGGCCAGTACCGAATATGAGGGGCACCAGCCATCTGGCTGCCAGTCCAAAAGACTCAGCTCTCCTAGCCCATTCCTGCTGAACACCGGCCTCCCTGAGGAGAAGCCCACGGGGAGAATTACAGCATCTATGCAGGGCAGCGGGGTGGGAACCGAGCAGCTATGCAGACTGTAGTCTCCACCCGGAGCCCCTGGAGACCAGACACTGCTGTTCCAGACATCTCAAACCCTGCAGAACAGCTCTGAGAGAAAAGCCTGGAAGGATGTACCTCCCTGTGAGTTCTGCAGTGCTCCTCCTCCTCCCTGTGTTCTGCAGTGCTCCATTTCCTCTGTATCTTGAAGTGCTCCAGCAATATATATATACATACATACACACACATATATACACACAAATATATATATATATATATTTGCTTTCAAGGCAGAGTTTCTCTGTGTAGCTTTGGAGCCCATATCCTAGAACTCGCTCTGTAGACCAGGCTGCGAACTCACAGAGATCCACCTGCCTCTGCCTCCCGAGTGCTGAGATTAAAGGCATGCACTACCACTGCCCAGTGTCTTTTATGATTTTTAAAACTTTTCCTCTAGTGTTTCACATAACTTTCATTCAAGTCAAGAGTCTAGTAAAATGTTCCAAACGTTACAGAAATCTTAACATAATAAAACCAGTACCTTTCCTTTCCCCGTGTAAGAAGAGAATAAGCATGTGTCTCTCCCATCAAGCAGTCTTGTGGGGACTCACAAATGTAGCTTTCGGAGTATGTCTTGGGCTATGTGACTGTGTTTGCTGGCGACTGTCCCCTTGTCCCCCGCTGGAGCATGCTGTGATACAGTGGGCACGGCAGTTGCGGCTGAACCTGACTCCTCTGATGTGCCCTGGCTGTGTCCTGTCCTTAGGAAATTTGGATTACATAGCTAGAGAAGGGAACCTCAGGTTGACAGTGAAGTCCTGGTGAGTAAATCCCTCAGATTTGTAAGAAGCTGACGAACACAGAAAGCTTTCCCTCTGTCGTCTTGAAGGCTTAACGTTAGGAAGAACTTACCAAAGTGCGCAAAAAGCACTAGGTGATACAGCCCTGCCCACACCATCTCCTGCCCACGCTGGCCTCCTCACCCATGAACACATACCCCAAACTCACTCATGCCCAGCAGCCTTTGCATGCAGAGCTCAGGCTTTCATACGGTCCCTTCTGCAGACAGCTCTCAGCTGAATGCCACCCCAGAGACACAGATCCCTCCAGTCTGCGCCCGGACTCACTTATCTGCATATGTTCATTGTGCTTATGCGTGCTGTCATCTGTCCCCAGCCTGGGGTCCCGGTACGGTGTGACTCCCAAGGGAACTACCAGAACACATGTTCTCTCTGCTCCACTCACAACAGTTCAGGCCACTCGAAACTGAATAGAGCCCCACTTTATATTATGGGATGTGCTCTCAGCTTATAACTGAATTCCTTTCTAAGCTAACTGTGTACCATATGGGCTTTGCACACCGGACCTGGCCACATCAGCCACAATGGAAGCTCCGAGTGAAAATACAGTTTCAGTATTAATTTCAAACATGCCTTGAAGGAGCCCTGGAACATTCAGAAGAAAACAGGTGCTGTATTTAGGAGCTAAAATGTAGGCACTGGGGCAGTGCTTGCAGCTCTGAGACTGAGACCGTTCTTGCAGCTAGCACAATACACAGCGCTGGAAAACCCAGAGCGAAGCAAATCTGCTGCCATGAGCATCTGTAAGGTTCCTCCAGGTCTGGGCCATGGGGCTGAAAGCAACGCCCTGTGTGCTGGGGCAGAGCAGCGAGAGGGAGCCTATCCCCTCCCCAGGCAGGGCCCTACTCAGCTTACACTGCTCGCATGTTGTTCTCGGGAAGCAGGGGGATCTCCAGGACTTTGGTGTTGGACAGGATGGCTTCGTGGCTGGTGGTGGAGACAGTCTTCCCCGTGATCCGGTGGACCTGGTAGAAGGCATGGGGCCGCAGCAGACGGTCGTCCGCGGTCCCGATGAACAGCTGTAGCGTGAGCGGCTCGTTTTCCAAGTAACCATGTAGCTGTCGAGAAAACAAAGGACTCCGTAAGCACCATGCACAGAAATTGTGGGGACCATTTGTCAGCAGGGGAAAGCTTAAAAAGGAAGCTGTGCCCAGTGCCCAGCGTCCAGTCCCTCAGCTTCATATGATGTAATATTAGCACTTCTTAAAATTATAAATATAAAACACAGCCAGGCATAGTGGCACACACCTTTAATCCCAGCACTGGGGAGGCAGAAGCAGGTGGATCTCCGAGTTCAAAGCTAGCCAGAATCTACATAGAGAGTATTTGGACAATCAGAGTTACACAGTGAGATCTTATCTCAAAAAATAAAATAAAGCCATGCTATCCTAAAGGCCTTGGGAATATAGGTTAGAATTTGAACACAACACATGTTCACATATATGCACCAGTGTACTAGTGCACACCTCACTCATGCCTTTGCCCATGTATAACCAGACAGGTAGTGTGCACATGGGTTCACATGCACTCCTAGAGGCAATGTGTAAATGTGTACACATGCACACCATCACACATACTCCCATAAAACATTGTGCATACATCATATACAAACATTATACAGTTAAACATGTAACGTTACACACACGTACATGCACATGCATGCACACACATGCACACACACTCACACAACTGTCTAGGTCATCCCTTTATGACCGTTCTGTGTACATCTCCTTCAGAAGGAGGTGACAATAAATGTCCTATGAATGCCAGTTGGGCTGCTGACCACGGCTGGCTAGTCAAGTGGGCAGACTATCTTGAACTCATGATAAGACACAGTGACACTCCCCATGCTCATAGCCACTATCTACCCCCCCCATATCTGCATAGCTCAAACCAGGACAAATAAACTAGATGCTTCTTCCATGCCATGGGTGGGTTACCTACATCTCAAGGGTCATCCATAATGTGGCCCTTGTGCTAGGGAAGAGCCATCCTTCGAGATAAACAACCAGAGTTTAGAAGTGGAGTCACCCCTGGTGTCAACTGCACTTTCCTTTGTCCCAAGTGCACCCTCCCTCCCTCAACAGCTAGTCACTAGCACCATGTGTCCTATCTCCAGCTAACGAATGCTGGGACCAAGGCATTTCATCCTCACGGAGACTGAAGAAAGAGATCCCCCTTTGTGCTGTATCACAGGGTGGGAAGATGCCGCCAAGGCTCTGTGAGGACAGAGGAGGACTGCAGGACTCCAATGCCACCATGCCTGAGAACTGCCTGTTCCTATAGGGTGTGCTCACTCTCCGACTGTTCTTTTGATCTCTTCCCTCACTGGACTAATTTCAAAGTCTTAGAAATAGCAACCGTGACACAATGACAACAAGAGAGTTAAACTGTTCTCTTTTCGGACAAGCCATAGTCACACGATGAGTAAAAACACCAGTGTCACCACTCAAAGTCCATCAAGCCAAGAGTCAAGGCCCTACAGTCTCTACTCAAACCCACGATGAACATTTGGACGTGATGTAAGAGTCTCTCACAGGTGCAGGTGATCCTCCAACCACAGAGGATTCTAGAACAGTGTTAACAGAAAGACTCATATAAGCTGAGGTAAGTCAGCCTGCAGGCATGGCTTTGACTCCCCTGCCTCACTCCTAGGAGCCTCCCCTCCAGTCATTCGATTCAGAATCTGTCCACCCCGTGGGCCATGCTTATAATACCCCATAGTGCCCTGCTCTCCTGAAGGAAACCTGGGTTGGATGACACACACTGTAGGATGCAGGAGTCACTTGTGCCTGCGATGGGCTTCGTGGACCCAGTCTATAACTAAGTATAGCCTTTTCTGGTCTCTGTCATCCACTTACCAATGGCTAAGCCCACTGCCCCTCATGGAGGCCACAAAGGAATGTCCTGGCCACAAGTGCAGCAGAGGGGCTGAGGGCTAGAATGTGGGACTCAGGGGCAAGAGTTACATGTAGGTGGAAACTTGAGATGTGGCACCGGGGTGCTAGGAGCTTGGTTTTAGCAACCCCAAAACAAGAGGGCAATGAGCATCACCCCCAGAAAGCACCCATCAGGCTTTGGGGACCCTGAAACAAAGAGGCTGAAGCTCTGTGGTGGAACAGATCCTAATGGAAAAAACCCTCAGCCACAAGAAATGGATCCACAGATTCTGGGGAAGGCAAGGGGAAGTAACAGGGAAGAGGGGAGCTGCAGAGGACCCCGGGCTCTATCCAAGCTACTCCTTGTCTCTCCAGTGTAATTCCAGTCGTATAGGCTGGTAGAAGACTGTGCCTTTCATTTTAAAACATTTGGGGGGAAAACAATGAAACCTAGAAATGGGAACCAGGAAATCAGACAGTGCAATTAGCTGCTGCTGGGTTTTGATGTGGGCCTTGGGTATTGGGTTTTTACAAGGCAGTGGGCCTCTCACATGTCCCTCACGCAAAGGCCTCATGCATGCCAAGTGGTTCATTAGGAGAGGCACAGGCACCATGACTTTCATTAGCTCCTGTGATCCACCAGAGTGTGGCACATGGCCAGTGCCAGCCCTACCTCAAGATGAAAGGACTCGGGACTAAGGCTGCAGTTCAAACAGGTACTGCCCACATCCTCAAGTTCAATTACCAGTGCATGGCCACCAGCAGCAGCAAGCAAGATGTTTTCCCCACTCACCAGAGCCTAATGGGGCAGAGGCCCGGGGCTTTGTTGCCTCAAGAAGCAAAGGAAGCCAGGTGCAGTCGGAGCCCCACACAGGGCTCAGCTCTGAGGGCTGGAACGAGCATACTGCTTCCACACGGAGCCTGGAGGACCTGCACGTGGGCTGGGGACCGTCCTTTTCCTGCTTAGCTGGCACAAGGTGATACCACTGGCAACATTGAGAAGGCAAAAGTGCGAACTCATCTGAGGGCTGACCCTGTACCCCATCATTTTTTCTTCAGTCAAACCTTCTGCTTTCCCAACTCAAGCGGGGCAACAGCTTTCTGTGAGAACACAAACGCCCCGCAGCCATGCAAGGTTTCAACTTGAGAGTAATAAATGACCCAGAGACCTCTGTGCCCATCCAACGGCCGTGTCTACAGCATATCTCAGTCTGCAGGAACCATCCCTCCACACCGTGTTAGTAAAAGATGCAGACCCTCCTCTCATTCCTCTGAAGGGAAAGGGACTATTTCTGAACCCTGTCAGAAGGTCCACTACTGACCAGTGTTCAAGTTGACGTCTGGGAATGGGGCTACCCCAGGTCACCTCTGGGGCTATGAGGAAATCTGGGAGCTGGGAGCATCAGTCCTCTAGGATAAATCACCATGCAGGATGGTGGAGGATCAAGGACTCACAGCAGACTGTGATGATGGAGGGGCTGAGCACAACAGCCGCCCGCCCCTGTGGCTAACACCATGCAGATGTCACAGCTGTGCACACAGAGTCTGCGCTGCAGAGGTGGGTGGTGTCTGCTGAGGTGTGCTAGAATGTGCAGCCGCCACTCCCTGACACCAGCAGGTGGCTCTAAGGAAACCTTTGTCTCCCCGGACTCTGGGCAGAATTACAAGCACCTCTGATTAATGTTTGAAATTAATGCTTGCCCAGTGACAAGCCCTGGATGCTTGTGGCACAGTCAACAGAGACTCTGAGCATCATCTGAGGGTTTTATGAGAGTCAAGCCCTGTATGAGACAGTCTGTGTGGCAGTGTCGTTGTTCCTGTCTACACACGCGTACTCCTAGGCATGCACCTCATCTATTTTGTAGATGGGTCCGGTTGGGAAGATTTCTCTCTGGGCTTGGGTCAGGGGCTGTGGGCCAGGCATCTGTCTCTACTTTATCATCTACTCACAGCATCCATGAACCCGACCACTTCAGACGGTCACTAACCACCTGCATGCTATTGTCAGGGGGCTATGTACCAAGGGCACATACAAGTGAGTGGGGAGGGTGTCTGCTGACCACAGGTCCCCAGGCGTCCTGAGACAACAACACAGTGGAAATCCTTGATTAAGTCTGATAGAGCTAAAGAGTACAGGGAATTTCCCCCCAGATCCCCCAAACTGGCTATGGGCCTGGCTGACTGAATGAAGACTACATAGATTCTCCCCTCCATGGCCATCAGCACAAAGAGCTACCTGTGACACCTTGGGCCACAGTGGTCACAGTTAGCACTGTCTAAATCTGCAAACAGTGCCCAGAAGGCTTAGCAACCAAGGTTGGTTGGTTCAGGGCCTTTCGACACCTGGGATCTAGGCACTTGCTTCTTGCAATGTGATGAATCAACGAAGAAACCATTGCTCTGTATTGGATTAGAACAGTTTTACAATGTGATGTGTTAAGAAAATATAAATAAGAAATTCAGAGACAAACTGTGCCAATTAGTATTCTAGCCTGTGAAATTTAACACGAGATTCTATAAATGAATCTATGACAAAACCCCTCTCGGTAGGCAATCCTCAGAGTGGCCCAAGGCTCTAGCCCAGACTGGCTTGTGTCAGATGACTTTAAAATGACAACTGAAAATTCTCCCAGGACCCCTGCTATGTCAGGCTTCTTAAGGGATGGAAGGCCATGAACATGGTATAATTTTATCCTTTAGAAACATGCCATTTCAGTGAAAATAGGAATATTTAAGGCTTAACCTGGGAGGTAAATATCTATTATTTAAAGCATGAAGTTCACTTTAAGAAAAGAAATCTAAGCTGCTTCATATATCCCGCTGCATGGGCCTTCTGCCTCTGGCTTCTCACAGTGTCGGCCAGAACAACATTTATAAAGTTACCTGTCAAACCCAAGTCTCCTCGGCTTCCCTCTAAACGAAACAAAATGCATTATTCCATTTGCAAGGCGTAAGCACTCCTCCGTTTCCTGCACATTAAAATGTTTGTTTTTAGCCTCTGTGCCACCTCAGCACTTACACAGGGAAATGACAGGCCAACAGACTGACAGAGGACACATTTATTCAGTGCTGGAGCTGGGCCAGCATGCCACCTTCATACTCAGTGGAGGGATGATCTGAATTAACAGCGCCAATTAACTGATGAAACTTGTTTGCCTTTCAGCCCGTCATTCTGACTT